ACTTTAGTGAGCATTCAGCAGATTTTTAGAGAAATATGGACAGACAAGTTCGTTTCTTACGTACAAAAAACCCAGAACTTGAAAGTGGCAAAGAGCCTGAGACAGACCGTCGTAAAAGTGGAGCAGCGAGGAGGCGCGTGAGGCGTGCGCTCTGGACCCTCCCTCCAGCTGTAAGGCAGAGCTTCCTGCGTTCGCCGGGGCTCTTAAAGAGTCCTGGAGTCATCTTCGGCCTCCTTGTGTTTTACCTGCGTCTGTCCTGGGCTTACTCAACAGCCGTCTTTTGTGTGATGGATCAGTTGATAAGGAAAACGTGATTATTGGAGTTGCACATTGTTAGGGATGGGCTCTGTTTACTGAACAGGCATAAGCTGTGTTGCTGCAGGAAGAGTTACTGAGTTACTGGCTGTGGGACTGTGTCAGATGAGCCATTAGGGACTTGTGTCCCAAGTGCTGTTCTTCCATTGTGATTGAATTTTGCATATTTCACCCGACCTTGTCAAGCTCAGTTTATCTTTTTTTTAAAAGGAAACAAAAAAAGAGGGTCTTGTCCTGTCTGTTTTGCCCAGGCTGGTCTCAAGCGATTTTCCCTCCTCGGCCTCCCAAAGTGCTGGGGTTAAAGGCATGAGCCGACTCGCCCAGTCCAGTTTCCCTTAAAGAAACAATTCTCAATTTATTTTCTTCTGAAAATACCTTCTGTGTCTATTGTTGAGTTCAACTTTTCTCTCTAAAACAGCTTTCATAGCTATTTTCGAATTTTTTGTTTCTCTGAATTACTTCTTTGTTGTTTTGTCATTTTAATGACCACAATTATCCACTCGCATATTATCTCCTGGTTTCTGTTCTTGTCCTCATTTCTCTCTTACACGTCAACATATGGATACAACTGTTGTCCTGACTACGTATCGTTTAGACGCGATTTTAGTTAAGATGGCACTCTCGGCTGGGCGTGGTGGCTCACGCCTGTAATCCCAGCACTTTGGGAGGCCCAGGCAGGCAGATCATGAGGTCGTGAGTTCAAGACCAGTCTGGCCAACATGGTGAAATCTCGCCTCTACTAAAAATACAGAAAAACTGGCTGGGCGTGATGGCGCACGCCTGTAATCCCAGCTGTTCTGGAGGCTGAGGCAGGAGAATCGCTTGAACCCAGGAGGCAGAGGTTGCAGTGAGCTGAGATCGCACCACTTCACTCCAGCCTGGGCGACAGAGCAGGACTCCATCTCAGGGGAAAAAAGATGGCACTGTCTGTAGTATTAATGGATAGATCCCTCATTAGGTTAATCTAATTTGAAGGGCACTACTATAAGGAATTACATTTTTTTTTTTTTTTTTTTGAGACAGTCTCACTCTTGCCACCTAGACTGGAGTGCAGTGTGTGATCTTGGCTCACTGCAACCTTCGTCTCCCAAGTTCAAGTGATTCTCCTGTCTCAGCCTCCCAAGTAGTTGGGATTACAGGCTACCACGCCCAGCTAATTTTGTATTTTTAGTAGAGACGGGGTTTTGCCATGTTGGCCAGGCCAGGCTGTTCTCAAACTCCTGACCTCGAATGATCTGCCTGCCTTGGCCTCCCAAAGTGCTGGGATTACAGGCGTGAGCCACCACACCCAGCCAAGAATTAAATACTTTAAAAGTGCTAGCTGGGCACAGTGGCTCATGCCTGTTCCCAGTGCTTTGGGACACCTAGACATGAGAATCACAGAGGCTGAAAGTTCAAGACCAGCCTGGGCAACATAGCAAGACCCTGTCTATACCCCCCAAAAAAAACAAAAAAATTTTGGGCCAGGCACGGTGGCTCACACCTGTAATCTCAGCACTTCAGGAGGCCAAGGTGGGTGGATCACGAGGTCAGGAGATCGAGACCATCTTGGCCAACATGGTGAAACCCTGTCTCTACTAAAAAATACCAAAAAATAGCCGGGCGTGGTAGCAGGTGCCTGTAGTCGCAGCTACTCAGGAGGCTGAGGCAGGAGAATGGTGTGAACCTGGGAGGCGGAGCTTGCAGTGAGCCAAGATTGCGCCACTGCACTCCAGCCTGGGCGACAGAGTGAGACTCCATCTCAAAAAATTTAACTTTAAAAAGAGGTAAAACACAATACTGAATAAACATTAACTAGATATGTTTGAACTTTGTATCTTGGAATTGGTACTGAGTTCACACTCGGTTACCCATGTTTTTGCCATGGCCTCATTGTTGCGCTGTTTGCTAGTGTGTAATTGTACCATAAATATGAGTCTGACATAAGATTATCAAGGAGCATTATATTCAGTGTACTCTTAGTAAATTTTATGCCGTACTTTTTTTCCACAGTATTTGCAAACGCTACATTTGCAGTCATGTGACCTACTTGACATTTTTGGTGGAATCAGCTTCTTCCCATTGGATAAAATGACTTATTTGAAAATCCAGTCCTTTATTAATAGAATGGAGGAAAGCCTGAGTATAGTCAAATACACTGCGTTTCTCTATAATGATCAGCTCATCTGGTAGGTACACCCCGAGGCATGGTATTAAAAGAAAAAATTGAGATAATAAAAACAGCAGTGACTGGATTGATGGCAGGTTGTCAAACAGGAACTTGCAGGGGGAGGCTGGGTAGGAAGCATCTTCATAGATATTGTCAAAATAAAGCAGTGATTATTTAAAGCAGAACTAGGGTGATTTGGGTTAAAATTTCCAAGCAGAGGAGTTTAAAACTGGTTGCATGAAAGATGAAAAGCGGGCCGGGCACGGTGACTCACGCCTGTAATCCCAGCACTTTGGGAGGCCGAGGCGGGCGGATCACGAGGTAAGGAGATCGAGACCATCCTGGCTAACACAGTGAAACCCCGTCTCTACTAAAAAATACAGAAAACAAGCCGGGCATGGTGGCGGGCGCCTGTAGTCCCAGCTACTCGGGAGGCTGAGGCAGGAGAATGGCGGGAAGCCGGGAGGCGGAGCTTGCAGTGAGCCGAGATCGCGCCACAGCCCTCCAGCCTGGGCGACAGAGCGAGACTCCGTCTCAAAAAAAAAAAAAAAAAAAAGAAAGATGAAACAGCCTGTGTATAAGAAGCTCCATGCCTGTAATCTTAGCCACTTGTGGGAGGCAAGCCGGCAAGATACACTTGAGGTCAGGAGTTTGAGAACCCGAGCCTGGCCAACCATGGGGAAACCCTGGTCTCTACCCACAAAACAAAACTTAGCTTGGTGGCGCCGTTGGCACCAATCCTGTAAATCGCAGCTACTCGGAGGCTGAGCAGAAGAAACGCTGAACGAGCGAGTTACAGTGAGCCAGATAGCCGCCACCTAACTCCAGCCTGGCAAACAAAAGAAAG